AGCAAGATAGTCGGAGCCTGACGTGTCTATCCAGACGATAATTCCGGGACCGGGAATTTGAGAGGTATTCAGGTATACGAGCGTCCATCATGCTTGCTGTGCTATTCATCGTAAGGAATCAGGTGCGGACATGCTCATTGTCCTTAACATGCAGCCACTTGAACGGGAAGTTCTGGATTTATTCCTCACTTCGGTTATAAAGAAATTACTGTAGCAGTCCGAGGCTTGGCACCTCGGACCTATCCTTACAGACTTAAAGCTGATTTGGACAATGTCGTAGAAGCATCTGCACCTCAATATAGGTATCGACGCAGAGGTATCAGAAGTATTCAAAGTTCTTAGCAGATGGCCTCGGCCTCGACAAGACACCGACAAAGGCGATGTCAGCACCCAATAGGGGCTTTGGGATCTTTTACAATTAACACTTTGGTACTTGAAATTCAAATTTATGCATTAGATCCATGGTTGCAACCTTTCTTCTTGTAATTTAATCCCTCAAATTTTAAAAAACTTTCACTTAAGTCCAAAACTTCTCTTTATATTCAAGTTATTTTTAGCAAATAATAAAAATTATATAAAATCCATAAAAAATCATAAACCAAGTTGTAGAATTTATAAACTAGCTAAACTCAACAAGATATATTATATAGACTTATTAAAATTAATTTACCATTTAAATATATCATATAAACTATCCTAAACAAAAAATATATATAAAACTTGAAATAAGAGTTACAAACTTTAAAACGGTATGGTCTAAAACTGTATAAATTGAATTTTCTTTAACTATACACCCACGCGTACCCCCGCAAAGCGGGTTGGGCCAAGCTAGTTCTCCTAAACCAAGCATCTTCCTTTCGGCAGCCCCTGTCTCTCTTTCTTCTTAAAAAAATGCAGCGATCCATAGAAAAGATGCATGCTGATCATATGGGTGTTTTTGTTAATGGAAGAGGGAGGTAACTCAGATCCGCAGCTCAATCTGCTCAACTCAGTCTGCAGTCAACACAACGTCACCAACGTCCAGGACTTCCACACAAACCTGAGTGCCACGTTCCTCAAACTCAGGGCGGAGCTCGTGGGCGGCAACAACTTCGCCACTGCTGACAAAGCGTCCGATTCCAGCCCCACCTACGCCATGGTGCAGTGCAGAAACTAAATCTCCCCTACGGACTGTTTGGCTTGCTTTGACGCTGCTTCCATTAAAATCTGGAAATGCTCTGCCGCCAAACGGGCCCGCGTCATCTACGACGGCTGCTTTTCTCAGGTACTTATAATTAAGAACCTAATTGATGTGTTTCATTTCTATTTATTTTTTGACACCATGCCCTTATGTGAGTGCAGAAGGTCTTCCATTCAAATGTTATATCATGCGTAAAATATACATCTAGTCAATCACAATTTAACACGTCATTACTAATCTGTATAACATTCACGCAGTGGCTGAGTCAAGAATTTGAATTAGGGAGCAAGGTGTCAAACTCCAAATGGAAAATGTGTTAGTTAGGGGATAATTAAATTTTTAATTCAGATTAATTGAGATTGTAAGATGTAACATCACCAACGAACTTAGTGGAAATCAAGATTGAACGAGTGTATAAGTACCATGTTGCATATTTTGTTACAAAGACATTCCATTAGAATAATTTTTGGGGTTTCCACAAACTGGTAGAAATATAAGTGTTGGCAAAATTTCAATTGAAACCATAATCTCTAATCCATGTCTATTTGAAACTTTACAGGACCAATATCAGAGATCCACAGGTTTGCCTAGTGTAATTCACTATCATTGCATTAGAAAATTAGCAGTGGTTCTCAGAGTTTGAGCTTGACTTGCCTATGGTAAACTTGCATTTTTCTGTTGGAAGAAAGACTTGAAATTTTAGTGACCAAAGCTAGTCTTTTGACTCCTGGCTTTGAGCTTCAGTAAGTGTGAATACACGAAACACCCTTTGTTTTAATTGGTATGCTCCAAAATCAGTACTAGCGTAAGACTTGAGTGATGACGTAGTGCTAAACAAAAGTCACTTTAGGCATGCCTCATTATTCAACAAGGAAATCAAACAGTTGAATTCAGAAAACAATGAAAACGGCTTACAAATATATATATATATATATATTTACAATTTATATGAGGGTGTCAGTACTTAATTGAATTATTCATATAAAACATATCTTTTTATGCTAGTATTAAATTTAAAAGTATGTCTACAGTGGAACCTGATTTTGTGGGCCAAGTGGCTTTAGCCATGCTTGTAAAGTCTCCTCCTCTTAAAGGACAATGGCTCTAGTCGACTCCATGACTAAAATGTTAAAAAAAAAAAAATGTCTACGGTGCTTTACGTGAAAAAAAGCTTTACAAATCATCAGATAGCCTTCTTATGCTACCGCATCTACAATGTCTCGCGGCCGGAATGTAGTATTATTCAAAAAAGTAACAACCTTTCTCCCCATATTTTTCCCTCTTTTTTCCCCAACAGTGAGGATAGTCCAAGAAATATATTTGCGTACAGAGCAAATGCTACACAGCCAACCGCCTGATCCAAAATATATATCCAGTGCCCACTCCATGGATGCCCACCCCCGATCAGGGCTGGGCCTAAGCATCTTGCTGGGTTCATTCCAGTGCCCTGTGACTGTGACTGACAGCTGTCGACATAAAAACATGAAAGCCCACCTTGACCTGTCCTTTGTCAAAAGCCATCCATATGGACAAGATGAGAAACAAACACAATAACAGAAGGCCCATGATGGCCCGTGCAACAATGGTAAGAGTGCGGCAAGAAGAAAAGATGCATGATGTAAACTTTACAATTTTTTTTTTTAATTTAAGAATGTAAATTTTATTGTTTTTTAATTAAAATAATAAATTTTTATTTTTTATTTAAAAATATTAATTTTATATTTTTATTTAAAAATATCACATTTACATTTGTTATGTTAGTATCACCATTCAACTAATTTTTAAATAAAGAATATAAAAATGACATCTTTACATAAAGAAAATTAACATCTATAATTAATAATTAATAATTAACAAAGTTCACATTTTTAAATAAAAAAATTATAAAATTAACATCTTTGTCTATACACTTTTTCCTCAAGTGGCCATAAGTAGACTTTTCTCATGTTGGATACTCCTCCATCCTTTTAAATTTTAATTTCAGTTAAAAAAAAAAAAAAAAAACCTTTGTCCCAATTTAATTAGGGTTTTCTATTAATTTATTTTTTTACGAATGCACTTGGGATGACTATAAGATACTATGATTGTGACTATAGATGTATTAAATTATGATGTATTGTAACTGTGATTAAAGGTTCTTTTAGTGTTTGATTATTTATTTTTCAATAGTATTGTAGATAACATATGATAAATTTTATTAATTATTAATTAAAATTAAAAAATATTTTATGATGTATAGTTTCTAAAATAGGCAAAATATTACTACTTCTTAATAATTTAACTTGAGATCAAATATTTCTTCTTCTTCTTCTTTTTATAAACAAATATTTATGACATTCTTATCCATTTATATGAGTTACAGTTCAAAAGGACGGAATAAGTTTTTAATTTTTTTATGAAAGTTTCAAAAACCAATAAATAAAAGATTAGGTTTATATAAAATATTATAAATTGTGGGGTAATTGAATTAATGTGGTTAAATTTTAATGAGTTTTTTTATGATTGTATTAAATATTATGATATTGTCTATGAAAACACAACTAAAACAATTTTAAATTAAACTTCTAATTTTATATATAAAATTATTGTAAATTTAGAACTTTCTGCAATTTAAAAAAAAAAAAAAAACAAACACAGACTATTGTAACAAAAACTTAATAACTTCGTAATCCTCACCTCCTTTTTAATTGAATCTCACAAACGGCAAATATAGGATTTTATCCTATTATATTTGTATTTTTATGGAATTTGATCATTTCTTTTTTTTGGGTAAGAGTGCTATCAAGAAGCATGGCAACTAATGAAAGGAGATGTACCCCCCCTCCCCCCAAAAAAATTAGGGATGGAAGTAGATGTGTACCAAAAAATGAAAAAAAATAGAATGTCATGATATTTTAAATGATAGAATTATAAATAAAATTATTTGAATATATTTAATAAAATTTTTTATATTAACTCATTAAAAGTACTTAAACTTTTTTATTATCCTTCTTAATATTTTAATTAAGAGAACTTACTGATTTTACTCAAATTCAAATAATAAATAAGGATGGAAGGAGTGGTTGAAATATCCTTAAATGTTAATTTTAATTTCTCAATTTTAGGATTTTGTATAGTTTTAATTTATCAACTTTTTTTATATTTTTTTTGTTCCATAACTTTGAAAATACTCATTTTTTGTCATTTTATCAGTTAATTCATTAAATTTATCTAAATGTATACATTTTAAATCCATAAAGTTATAATATATGCACATTTATGTATATATATATAAACAAATTTAATGAATTAATTGACAAAAAGATGAAAATGTATTTTTTAAAGTTGAGAAATTAAAAAAATATTTAAAATAATTAAATAATAAAAAATTGTGCAAAACTCTAAACTTAAATTATTAAAATTCACATTTAAGCTCGATTATCAAAATGTCTATTCCACATCCCTTTTATCTTTCTTTTAAACTTTTTTAGTATATAGACTGTAAATTAAATTTTAAATTTATAATTAATAATATAAATACTCCTAATATTAAACCACGTTACCGAACGTATCGTTCTTTTAAATTAATACAGAATTCTCATAAACCAAACATCTTCCTTGCGGCAGCCCGTCTCTTCTTCTTGAAAAAATACACCTATCCTGAGAAAGATGAAAGATATGATCATATTGCTGTGGGCGATCATGTGGGTGGTTTTGTTAATGGAAGAGGGAGCTAATATAGATCAGCAGAGCTCAATCTGCTCAACTCAGTCTGCGGTCAATACAACGTCACCAACGTCCAGGACTTCTACACAAACCTCAACGCCACGTTCCTCAAACTCAGGGCGGAGCTCGTGGGCCGCAACACCTACTTCGCCACGGCTGACGAAGCGTCCGGTTCCAGCCCCACCTACGCCATGGGCCAGTGCAGAAACTACCTTCCCCTTCCGACTGTTTGGCTTGCTCTGACGCTGCTTCGATTATATTCAGGCCGGAAACGCTCTGCCGCCAACGGGGCCCGCGTCATCCACGACGGTTGCTTCCTGAGGCACTGATAAGAACTTATAAATTGATATATTTCATTTTACTCATTTTTTAACAACATGCCCTTATGTGAGTGCAGAAGGTCTTCCATTCAAATGTTGTATTACACTACTAAAAATCTAATTTTCAATAGCGCGTCGGTGAAATTGCTTCCCAGCTAAAAGTCCTTCAGCAACAAAAACCATATTGCTGATGTCTTTGTTGGAAAAGCCTTAGTGGGTAATATTGTTGAAGAATTTTCAAAATATTACCAAGATTTGGGTTCGAACCACAAAGAGTTAATTCGAAACAATTACACAGAATGCATTTGAGAAAGTGTAATTTTGGTTCGAATCATAATTATATGATTCGAATAATTTACGTAAAACCAAAATCTGAAAAGTTACAATTTTGGTTCGAACCATATTTTTCTGGTTCGAACCATTTACGTCAGAATAAGAGATAAAATTCAGATAAGTTCTGAAGAGAGTAGATAACTTTGGAAGGCAAGGAAACATATCATTTGGAGTTTAAATCAAACCAAATGACTTTTGAAAAAGTTTCCAAAGGATAAATTTCATGAAAACTCAATTATTATCCATTAATAAACCAATAATAACTAAAAAGGAGTGTCTGTTCACAACAGACATCTTGCTCCTATAAATATGAAGTTATCTCTTCTTCTTCTTTGTCTCTTGAACCTAGAAACAAATCCCTACTATTATCTAAATAAAACAGCCCCTTTTTGCGCTTTGATTGTTGTGGAAATCCTTGTACAAAAACTATTGTTTTGTCGCTTTCCAAAGGACGATTCAGTGGTTGATCTTGCTAGTGCAAAAGCAAGATCAACAAGGCGCTTCATTGTATCCTACGGGCATTTCGGGTTACTCCTTTTGCATACCAGATCTGGTGGGGGTGAAATTAGCCTAAAGGAAAGTGGCATTTGCAACACGCCTTGAAGCCATTTGCAGATTTTCTACCGTTTTTCTTCAACAATCTTTAGGCTAATTTTTCTGTTTTGCAATTATGGCTGCAACTTTACTTGAGATGGCTACTAATTTCCAGAAGTTAGATTGCTTTGATGGGGGCAACTTTATTCGATGGCAACGCAAGATGCACATCCTTCTCACAACTCTCAACATCGTTTATGTTCTCACTGATGCTCGACCAAAGGAAAATGAGAACGAAACTTTGCAAGATACAAGGAAAAGGAAAAAGTGGGAGAATGATGATTATGTCTATAGGGGCTGCATCTTCAATGGTATGCTGATTGTTGAAGAAATAGGGTAGAAAATCTGCAAATGGCTTCAAGGCGTGTTGCAAATGCCACTTTTCTTTAGGCTAAATTTTCTGTTTTGCAATTATGGCTGCAACTTTGCATGAGATGGCTACTAATTTCCAGAAGTTAGATCGCTTTGATGGGGGCGACTTTATTTGATGGCAACGCAAGATGCACATCCTTCTCACTACTCTCAACATCGTTTATGTTCTCACTGATGCTCGATCAAAGGAAAATGAGAATGAAACTTTGCAAGATACAAGGAAAAGGAATGGTGGGGGAATGTTGAAGAATTTTCAAAATATTTCCAGGATTTGGGTTCGAACCACAAAAAGTTGATTCGAAGCAATTGCACAGAATGCATTTGAGAAAGTGTAACTTTGGTTCGAACCATAATTATATGATTCGAATCATTTATGTAAAACCAAAATCCCAAAAGTTACAATTTTGGTTCGAGCCACATTTTTCTGGTTCGAACCATTTACGTCAGAATAAGAGATAAAATTCAGATAAGTTTTTGAAGAGAGTGGATAACTTTGGAAGGCAAGGAAACACGTCATTTGGAGTTCAAATCAAACCAAATGACTTTTGGAAGAGTTTCCAACGGATAAATTGCATGAAAACTTAATTATTATCAGTTTATTAACTGATAATAACTAAAAAGGAGTGTCTGTTCACAACAGACATCTTGCCCCTATAAATATGAAGTTATCTCTTCTTCTTCTTTGTCTCTTAAACCCAGAGACAAATCCCTACTATTATCTAAATAAAACAGCCCCTTTTTGCACTTCGATTGCTATAGAAATCCTTGTACAAAAACTATTGTTTTGTCGCTGTCCAAATGACGGTTCAGTGGTTGATCTTGCTAGTGCAAAAGCAAGATCAACAAGACGCTTCATTATATCCTACGGGTATTTCGGGTTACTCCTTTTGCATACCAGATCTGGTTTGGTCTAAGACATAGTTATGTAAGGCAATTCATTGTTGATGGGGTGATCACCATAGACTATGTGAAGTCTGGTGAAAATTTAGCAGATCCTTTAACAAAAGGATTAACAAGAGAAAAAGTATATAAAACATCTATAGGGATGGGTCTCAAGTTTGTTGATAAAAGTCACACATGATGGAACCTCAACTTAATGCTTGATAAAAACTTCAAGTCTTGAATTCAATGAGTAAAGTACATTATATGAATGTGACTGCAAGTACGCAATTTATTAATAATACCATCCCAAGTGGAAGAGTACTTGGTAACCACATGAAATAAAAAAGAGGTTGAGTTTTACTCTTAATAGGTCCTATAACAAATTTCTGTTAAAGTACTTAATGCAGTGGCACTTTTGATGGGATCTACCTATATGAGTGGAAGTGGTGCCGCTTCTAGGAGTTGGGGACTTGACTCTAACAGCACTCATGAAAAGGATACAGGACACATGTCTAGTTTTTGTGTCAGTGGATGCTGAATTCCTTTTTTGGAAAGCTTGAAGTCTTGTGTTGAAGAATTTTCAAAATATTTCCAGGATTTGGATTCGAATCACAAAAAGTTGGTTTGAAGCAATTGCACAGAATGCATTTGAGAAAGTGTAACTTTGGTTAGAATCATAATTATATGATTTGAATCATTTACATAAAACCAAAATCTGAAAAGTTACGATTTTGGTTCGAACCACATTTTCCTGGTTCGAACCATTTACGTCAGAGTAAGAGATAAAATTCAAATAAGTTTCTGAAGAGAGTGAATAACTTTGGAAGGCAAGGAAACACATCATTTGGAGTTCAAATCAAACCAAATGACTTTTGGAAGAGTTTCCAACGGATAAATTTCATGAAAACTCAGTTATTATCCGTTAATAAATTGATAATAACTGAAAAGGAGTGTCTGTTCACAACAGACATCTTGCCCCTATAAATATGAAGTTATCTCTTCTTCTTCTTTGTCTCTTGAACCCAGAAACAAATCCCTCCTATTATCTAAATAAAACAGCTCCTGTTTTGCACTTCGATTGCTGCAGAAATCAAAGTAGTCAATACCGTACCGGTATGCATACCGATTTTGCTACTGGAACGGTACGTACCGGATA